GACACCCTCCCACAGGCTTCAAAGACCAGGTTAGGTGTGTCTCTTATATGTTCCTATAGTATCACAGCACTTACACCGCTGGATAAGGCACTGGACTGTTTTACTCTCTGTGTCCTCTCTTAGGGCAGAGACTGTGTTCTCTGCGTCACTCACTCCACAACACTAGCACAAGAAGGCACTCTGCAAGTGCTTGTCAACTAAATGCATGAATGTTTCTTAAGTCAAATTCATACTTGTCCCCACAATCTTTTTTCCCTCCTATTGATCAAAACTAGACGTAAAGAATCAAGAGCACAATAAGGGTCTTAAAAATAGGCATTCAATTTGTTTATTCAGATGGACTTACTCTAACATTCACATTAATTTCAAATCAACTTCATCTTTTAGGGACATAGCTAGAGGATAACAGGCCACATCATATTTTTAGTTACAAAAACAAGACATGTTCAATGGATACAGTAAGGTGGATCCCATGGTGAGTCCACTTTCACTTGTTAGGGCTTGACAGCTAGCACTCAATCTTTCCAAGGGTTTCAGTTGCATTTGGCCTCCTTTAGCCCCAGCAGTTTTTAACAGTACACATTTTCCACATGTAATTAAGTAATGGAGAGTGAGTTGTTATACATGACATTTAATTTTCGATAGTGGGGGAAGGTATGACAAGAGCTGCAGGCGAGATCATTAATCTTCTTGGATCCCTGCACTGCCAAATACAGCAATTCATTCTTGATCGTATTAATACAGTGTTCCTCCTGTACTGAAATTGGAGTGCTTGTGTAGAGGGGCTCATGTGGAAAAGGAAAACTCACAGAATTGAATGTGTGGTACACAGTAAGCCCCCAGATTGTAATATACATCTAGATGATCTAGAGTAGAATAATTTAGTATACCAGAGTCTATATGTGCCATTGGGCACAATTACATGATTACAGGATTGTCCAAAATCTAGCAATATAGGGAGAAAAGGGCAAAAAGTGATTATGTAAGTCATATATACACAGCAGCAACTTACTAATTTTCCTTGATGACTCACACACTCCTTTTGTGAATTATAGATCAATTAGTATATGAATAAAGACAAGTGTTAAAAGAATATAAGGACGTGATCACACAAATGTACGTCACTACAGACTAAAGACTCTAGTTAATTAAAATGTTGCCTGCAGCATATTTTAACTTTCTGTGATTACTACTAATCATTCTCCCAAACCTGTGGCCAGTTCCCATTTTTATCTCAATTGTCAGTAAATTTGAAAAAGAGTTGCTCAGGTATAAAAGCCAAAATTTTCCGTATAATGGAAATGCACAGGGAATCAATAATTTCAACTAAGGAAGGAAATACTGCCAAAGAGAAGCACTAATCAAAGAAATACAATTTATAAAAATCAGTTTTTAAAGTAACATTATATCACACAAAGCAGTTATGCCGTTTTAAAGAAAAGTACAATTGCGTCTGTTGTACTGAGATGATTTAAGTGCTAACTTCCTGAAACTTGGTAACAAATCAACATTTAATTGTTTCAGGATTTGGTTCCAAAATAGGCAAAATTAGAGTTCTTGTAACAATAGCCTGAAAGAGGTAATTTATAGGCAGAGGCTGAAAGATGTATCTAAATGAGTAATGAACTAGACAATCAGCCTGAAGAAGTGAGGATGATGCACAGGTTACTACACATGAATAGGACACCAATCTACTATGATACCCTTATTGGTGATGTAAAGAGCTGATGAGCAATAAAGTATTTTCTTTTTTGATTTCCTTAAGTGCTTTAAATTCCGACCCTACTTGATATTACTTACCTCAGTAAAATCTATTATAATACATTTTATTGACATGGGGATTAATTGATGTTAATTAGATCTCTCTTTATACAGTCCTCAATTAAAGAGCGTTCTACTCCTTGTTGGAGTATCAGGTCATCATTAAAAAAAGAAGACCATGGAGAAGAAACAGAAGCAGAAGCAGCAGCAGCTCAACAACAGCAGACAGGGAAATAAAAGACATTTTAGGCAGGCTGTGTCCTTGTCTCTTATTCTAACATTTACCAGAAATGGTTGTATATAATGTCCATACCTATCTCTTCCAGTGCTTAATCATTATGATGTTAATTAAAGCATTCTAAAACTGTGAATGCTCTTCACTCAAAAAATAGTCAAGATTCTGGAATGAGACAAAGTATATATGAGAATGGTTCTTTTTTTTACCCCTCCTCTTCCCTTCTCCCTAACTACTTTCCTTCTCTTTTACCTCTGTCCTCCCTCCCTCCCCGCCTACTTCTGCCATCGACATCATCACCAGCATCTTCATCACTATAGCAGCCACCAATGTTGAGTCCATATTGCCAGGCAATTTACATGTATAAATACATTAGACATGTATATATACATTATAAATATAGAGATAGCTATATTATCCCCATACTAAAGCTCAGGAAACTGACCAAGCTCACAAAGCTGGGATATCACAGAGTAGGTTTCAAGCCCAGGCAGGGTGAACTGTGGTTTCTTTTTTTAATCACTAAGCCTTAGAGTTCAGTCTTGTTTTAGAAAACAAGGTAAGAGTTCTTAGTCAAATGACTTTAGGTAAGAGTTCTTAGTCAAATGACTAGTTCCTTCCCTATGGAAACTGAAGCATTAATTAATTAATAAAATGCTGGCACACAAATTATTAGATACATATCTATTGAATAAAACAAAAGGTTGTAAGCAGTGGTACATCTCTCTTGATACAATTCAAGCTCATTTCCTTTAGATAGTCTAAAAGTGGATATGACTAGATTGTTCAGAATCAAGCCCACATCATTTTTCCCCCTATAGAAGAAGATATAGAAAATCTTCCTAAGTTAGATTATTTGAGAAAGTAGTAGGGAGAGGGACTAAAGTATGAGGAATTTTGTAAAATATGAGTTATATGTCTATATGCATTTTTGAATCCACAAAATACGTCAAACTAACTTACTATGATTGCTCCCTTTGGAGAATAAATAATCTGGATTGCTCAGTAGGAGCTGAAAGGAAATTTATTCGATAAAGCTTTCTGAATGCCCACTATGTGCTAGGCACTATAATTTAATGACCATGTAAGAAAGGCTCATAATTAGATGACATATTTTGAATGTAGTTTGATCCTTCTAAATTGCTTAAAATCACTTCCAGTAAATAAGTATTCAGCAGCATCCTCAATCATGCTTACACCATTAATTTCCTGAACAAATTTTTTTCTTGATTCTGAACAATCAAAATTGAAACCACCAGACACTAAATTAATGGGAGTATATTACCATTATTAAAATTCTACTCAGCTTTCTCTTCTGTACGCTAAACAATTTCAGTTCGTTTAACCTTTCTTTCTTGAAGGAGGGGGGTTCTATTTCCCAACTACATAATTGCATTAAATGATTTCCTTTGGATCCTACTCAATTTTCTTTTGCTCTCCTTAAAACGGGATGACCCGGCATGAGTAATAAAGGCCCCACAAATGCTGAAGAGGTAACAGTAATGTTAATCATTAATAATGTCCCTTGCAGCAGTCGCCACCATGTGCCAAGCACTTGATGTGCAGACTCTACTGAGTGCTATGTAACGTCTTCTCATGTGATACTCAAACAGCTTTACACAAAGTTCTAAAGCCTAAATGGCTTCACCTCTTTACTTGTATGCACTTCTCTTGATGGACATCTTAAATTTTTGAGGGGCTGACCTTTCCTCAGGTCTGTTCATGTTTTCATCATCTAACTCTAATTTTGTAACCTCTGGCAACAGCAAGGGCCAAGTGTCTGACAGAGGACTTCAAGGTCAGCAAGTGTCTGACAGAGGACTTCAAGGTGAGTAAGCCAGAGGTGGTCGTCTTAATAAATACATAAAGACAGATGAGAGGAGGAAGGTTTCTCCCCCTAGAAACAAGGGTTAAAAACCCCTGGAAATCCAGAAAGTGTTACTGAGCAAGAGAAAAGGGCATCAATGTAGGATTTCTTCAGGAGCAAAGCAGCAATGCCTGTGAGGCTGAAGTGATGGCATGGGAAGGAATATTTCAATCACCTACATTAGTGCCCATATCTGGGTATAAAACTCCCCCTTAATCCCAGCCATCTCCTGGGAGTGGACGGGTCTTACTAACAGGTAACTATAGAGAAGGGGGAGAATAACAATGATCACCACCATCATAAAGGACCAGCCAACATTTTTTCAAGACTTTACTCCATGCTCGACACTGTGGTAAGCATTTCTAATTTTTGAAACACCACAATGAGTGAGGTAAGTGCTTTATAGCCCCCATTTTACAGATAATAACTGAGGCCCAGAGCAAAAAGAAACAGCGTGACCGTTAACATACAGGGTTAGTTACATCCCCTAAGAATAATTCAGACTCATCTGTCATTTCAGTCCGATAACAGGGAATCAAGCTTCCTTCCACAGCTGATGATGGCCACCACCAATGAGGAGTCCCAATTCTGACTCATTTATGCCGAAAGGGCTCAGTCAGCTAGTAGATGAGGTGTGGGCAAATGTGGAGCCCCAAACGGACCACACGACTCCAGACAGCAGAGCTCACATCTCCTCCCCTCTGTATTTCTCACCAGCACTCTTAATACAAAAGCTCCTAAAATTTTCCTGGGTTCTTTTGTTCCGGCGTATTCTTTGATGAAGGCATTAATGAGTCAGCAAATGTACCAAATGATGGTGACAGTAGGATGAGAAGCTAGAATATTCTATCTTATTTATAAAGAGGATAATCAGGAAGAATTTTTTTAATGGCAATAAAAGTACAAGCCTCAGTTACCACTTCTATCATGTGAAACGTAAGTAACAAGGACACCTCACAATCGAAACGACAATCGAAATGATCTATACTTTTCTTGAAGTGACAGTCACAAGAGGGAAATATATTTTTAGAATACAGTGATTTTGTTAAACAAACAAAAGATGAAATAGTCTTACACAAATGATAACATCTCAAGAGGAGATCTTAAGTTTTAGAAAACCAGATGTATCTATCTTACCTGATGAAAACAAGCTTGACCTTTGACGGGGCAGTCTTAATAATGGCAGATGCATTTTGATGACTTCTTCCATGCAGGATCTGATTGTTTATCTGTGGGGAAAAAAATCAAATGCACTTGTAAAATTGTAATATAAATATATTTTGTATGAAAATATATATGCATATATACATGTATACAAGTATATGTGTATGTACTTGGAATTAAAAAAATGAAGTTCATTCATTTTTAAGTAGGTAGATGTAGGACTCTTTAATGCTAAAAATCTTAACATTCTTCACAGTACAGATTCAAACACTAATTCTAAGCAGCTGCTAAAATCTCTTAAATTCTAATTTGAATGCAGTTAATAAAGAACATACAGTTTTTGACCCTTTTGCTAAACTTGACAGAAGCAGTTGAGCTAGATGCAAAAACCTTATGATAGATATTTCCTACAGCTTTTCCAGACTCCTAAAAAATGCAGAAAACAGACCAAACTGTGGTATTCATCAGAGCTCTGGAGTGTCCATTGAATATGATTCTGTAAACGTGTCAAGGTTATTACATAGCATAAATTTTGTTACTCCAGAGGATGTAAATATTACATCCCCATTTTAAGACAAATATTAGAGCAATTGCACTGAAACATTTTACTGTACCCAATCAACGAGGCATCCACTCTTATCCAAGATGTGGTAGGATTTTTAACTTGATTGAATTCACCTAAATATGATCTTAAAACATTTATATTCTAAATTTCTTCACTCCAGATTTTCCCACTGCTAAACTATGATGATAGCCATAATCAATCTTTTATTTTATTTCAGCCATTTGATAATAGCTCACACAGTTTTGGCTTTTTCTCTCTTGTCTCTTCAATAAGTAATGATCTATGTCATACTGTCCCTTTTTAACTGAGGCCTTGATAATTTCTATTATTTAAGGGATAGTAAAAAGGAATTTATGCTTTCTGCAGTTAGCATTTAATTTGTCTGTCCTTGATGTCTCTGAACTTTTGCATTTGAAGACATCTGGAAAAGGTATCATTTTTGTCATAACAGCTATAATGAGAAAGTATTTGGAAATAAACACTTCAAAGGATGGAATGAAAATATAATATTTTTAACTGTCTAAAATGAAGCTCATCCATCACCTCAAAGTGATAAAGCTGGTACTCATATCAAAGGCTACTGTGAAGACTAAACTTGAACCACTGCTTCACTATGCCTCTCATTTTATCAGCTTTTGTTCTTCACCAAGATAATCAATCTCCCAGAAATCCACTGATCTCCACACTGTCATTTCTCTGCGTCTCAGTGTCTTCTACTTTAAAAGGAATCTAAGCACCTATTTCATAAAACTATTGTGAGAATTAAATAATGTCTTTAAATTTTATTTACAGTAATCTTGATACCCAAATGTTTTTTAATTTTTATGTGTTAAAACTACTCATCTTTTCTGTTAAGGTTTCTACCTTTTTAACATGATGTATTTAAAAATGTGCCCACCCTCCATATGGTACTATGATGATGGATACATGCCATTATACATTTGTCCAAACCTACAGAATGTACAACACCCAGAGTGAGCACTAATGTAAACTTACGGACTTTGAGTGATTATGATGGGTCAATATAGGTTCATCAGTTGTAATGAATGCGCCACTCTGGAAGGGGATGTTGGGAATGAGGGAGGCTGTGCATGTTTGGGGATAGGGGGTTCCACAGGAAATCTCTTTACCCTCCTCTCAATTTTCCTGCTCTAAAAAAAAAAATCATTTTTTAAGCGCCCACCCTCTAGATAACATATTTTCTCCTAATACTTTTATGGTTTTATTTTTCTTATATTTACATCTTCTTACCTAACTTAGTTATAAGGGAAATAGTTAAAGTCATGCAGTCATTAAGAGTGATGTGAAAAAGCATACTTAACGACATAAGAAATATCAAAAATGTATTAAGTGACAAAGGCTGGCTACAACATAGTATGTCTAGCATGATCACCTTTTTTGCTAACCATAGTTTTCAATCCCTTTAACGGATAATGAATGGCAAATAAGAAAGTTTAAATCACAATTTTAAAATGAGACGATGCATGGACTATGCTTGATCCAATGCCTGGCACTCAGGTGATTATTTGTGAATATCTTCCCCACTGTGCCTGGCCTCTGCTTTAAGAAAGTCTTTCCTAAACCACGACCTATCAAACCTTCTTGTCTTTGAATTCTATGGCACTAGGTTTAAAAAAATTTCTCTTATTCCATTTGCACCTCACCTGCATGGTAAAGCCAACCCCTGTCAGGTGGAAAGCATCCATGCAGGCATATAACATTTATTGAACAGAGCTAAACTCATTGAGGGCAGGAACTGGTGTCCTCTTCTTGGTATTCCCCAGCTTTCATACACAGCTTGCATACAATGGTGCTCAGTGAGGATGCACTGAATCACAGAGCCCTGAATGGAAGTAACACTTCCATTAATCAACTGCTGGTATGCTTTCTCTGAGGTGGGCTCCAGCCTTCAAAGTGATTGAAGTTTAAAAAAAAAAAAAAAAAGGTTTTTGATTAGCAAAAGCTTGAGCATATAGAAAACTGAGCTGTTTCATGTTTATGGATACGCCTGTCTTTTAGCTGTGATCCTCCATTTTGATAGAATAGAATCCATGGCAGTATTATTCTAAGTGGAAAAAATCATAGCCCAAATGAAGAAAGCAAGTAATTAATTTCAATTTACCTAAGAGTAAAGCTAAAGTTATAAGTCTTTCCTGGTGCTGTTTCTGAATATTCAGAGGCCCTGGCAGTAGAAAGGCGAGGCAGCTTGCTTGCTGGCAATGTTTTTTCCAGTGCCAACAACTGTGGCATTTACTGCTAAGGCAGCTGCTCCCTGCCAATGATCAGGGGCCTCTAGAGAGACTCTGCTACTCAGTGGAAAACTGGGAACAGAACAGGAAACTCAAGATAGAGTGAAACCTTATTTTACTGGATTAAATCTAAAAGGAAAAATGCAGGTCTCTGGATAAAAATAATCCAAGACAAAGTCTCTTTTCTGGCTTCAGAAATGACACATTAGCAGCCCTCTGAGTTTCAGGAGAGGAAGATCTCTTCTGTGTTTTCTTAGATCTTATTGTATACAAAACAATTTCACTATTTAAACAAAAGGTATATAGCTTCCAACGACATAAGCAGGTTTTTTACATTTCTTCATTTCTAAGGACACCCATTCCAGAGAAAATTCAGTAAGTAATTAGAAAGAACATGATGCATTTTATGCAAATTAACTTCAGACTGTCACTTTTCCTATTTCTGAGAAGGCGCTGTTTTCTGAGGGCACTATTGTTTAAACAACAGATGGAAGATGTCTTCTAAGTATAGCATAGACAGAAAGAAAGCATTTTGTACCTCCTGGAAGTTTTTCGGGTTAATTCTAATTAATAATAACTACCAGCCACTGAGTGCTTTCTTTCTGTGCCAAACACTCTGCAAAGCTCTTGACGCACAGGATCTCAGTTAAATCTCAGAATAACCAGGTGTTATGTACTTTCACCAGATTATGAAACTGGTACTCCAAGACCTTGAGTAATTTGCCCAAGGTGATTTAGCTATTAGTTGAAAACCCTGTTTCCCTAAGGCACACCTAGAGGTATTATCATCCGTATGGTGCACATAAAAATCAGCTGATTTCGAACTTCCCTGGTGGCACAGTGGTTGAGAGTCCGTCTTCCGATGCAGAAGACACGGGTTCATTCCCGGGTCTGGGAAGATCCCACGTGCCGCGGAGCCGCTGGGCCCGTGAGCCATGGCCGCTGAGCCCGCGCGTCCAGAGCCCGTGCTCCGCAACGGGAGAAGCCACAACAGTGAGAGGCCCGCATAACACACACACACACACACACACACACACACACACACACACCAGCTGACTTCTAAAGTCATCTTTGTAAAGGTGTCTAATAAATAAACTCTGAGCTGAACACCTACCATCTTAGGTCCTGGAATTTTGAGATACACAAGTCAGAATCAAGCATTTTACCACAATGCATAGAGGCAAGATCCGATAGCTCTGTTAGGCTTTTGAAATCCCTAATGCAGTATGCAGTTCTGTAAGACTGCACCTTTCCTTTTGAGCAAACAAGCTACACCCTGAACAATAATATATACTTATTTCACTTTTTCTTCATTATACAAATAGACAAAGATTGACTAACTTTTAAGTTTTTTTCTGACACAAGCCAAAGGAAAACAGTTAAAATATTTCATCCTTTCAGAATATGTGATCACTCAGATTATCTAGAGATTGGAAAACACATTATTATTTTCCATATACTTCCAGTAAACTGAGAAGTAGAGAAACTAAGTGCTGGCCCAAAGTTTCTCCTTTCAAAAGCAACTCAATGATATACAGAAAAAATAATAAATTATTTAGATATATCCATATCTTTGATACTATCTAATAATTGCAAGAGGAACTATCCTTAGTCCTGACTTGTTATTCCAACTCCCCCCAAATAGTCTATTTATTATCTTAAAATCTGAGATGTACAACTGTTCCATTAAAGGGTAACCATATATTCTAAGTCTGGGACAGTCCAGTTTATGCATGTTGTTCCCATTATTTATAATGCTCCCTCTCAAAAGTAACCCAGTTTGGGTGATAAATAATATCTTTTCCCACGTTCACCCAGCCATGACTATGGGAGGTGTATTTTATGATACTCCATCTTGATTTCCATATTACTAAATGAGAAAGGATGTAGCAGAGACTTTGGGGATTGCTGCTAACACACAACCACTTCCTTTAGCAGGGATGGTCCTTCCAACCTTCCCATCACAAACGCCATCCATAATGGTTGACAGCCAAGTTAGTATTGTTTGTCGTGCCACTCCAGGCTGAAGCTGGAGGACATATGACACAGACTGGGACCATCAAGATTCTCTCTTTTTCGGGGGTTTAAAGGAGCTTTATATACTTTCTGTATGAAGGAGCTTTTTATACTCTTGATCTACAATTCTGGTTTTCTTATCTGTGTTTGGCTTCCTCTTCTGATTACTGACAAAAAAAGGCCTTTCTGAGATCCTCCACAAGGTCAGTAACTTCTATCTCAGCTCTATACCTGG